ATTTGAAAATTAAAAAACAAAATCTATCACCAAAGTTAATATTTGCTGCAGGGACAACTGACATATTTTTTTCATGTCATAAAAATGTAGTCACTGTTTCTTTGCCTTTTTGTCTTTTTTTAAAAAAATTTAGTCACTGTTTCTAAATTACTTGTTCCAGACATGAGCCCATGGTATCAAAAACACATTGAGACCTTCCTGAAAACATGGAATGAGCTAAGAGTCTCTGTGACCGGCAGTAAGTAAAGCACTAACCTGCTCTTTGTCTCACCTTCACATTCAATCGATTTATGTTATTACATATTTTCTTGTCTCTCCTTAAATTATTTTGTTCTGTGCATTGTGTTCAAATTAAAAAGATAAATAAATGAATAACATGTCTTCAATTTAACTTAAAATGAGAACAGTGCAGTTCTTGATTGATTTCAGTTGCCCTGTGAGAACATACATTTACAGTGTACTCTACATGACAATAGTCATCATTTTGTCTGCTACAGTCGAGTATAATAATTGGTGTTTTTGTGCATAGACCACATAAGTCAAAGTAATGGAAAAAGCTGCATTACAAATAAGAAATTATTTATCTGTCCTTTCAAAACTATAGATGAAATAAAAATTCCAGAAGAATTTTGCAGCAGAGATTTGGACCTGGACAGTAACCTCAGGTACCTCCTGCCCCGTCGGCAGGGTCCAGGCCTGTGTGCCACAGGGCTGGTCAGCTATCTGGTGACTCTCCACAATGAGTTGGTGAATGCAGTGGACCGTCACACAGGAGAGGACAACAGGTACTTTTTTAAAGCAGTTTATTCTGCTTTTTTTATTTATTTATCTATTTTCTACCTGAAGTTCAAGTGAAACTTCAATAGTCTTAAGTTAGGTGAGTCAAATGAGTATCATTCAGAGGTGTTAGTATTAAAAAGCCTTCCTTTCACCTGGGATCTTGACATAGAAACACAGAGCAACATAACCAAGTCGATGTCGAGTCGATGCTATTGATATATTATATATTGTAAATATAATACAGTTCAGTTTTGCTCAACCAACATTTTTCTTCATTCTAGACCAACATTTAACCAAAATTATTTGGAAAAGAAATGTTGGAAGATTAAAGTTCATATCTACATTGTGATGTCTGCAGTGACTACACAGTGAGTCTGTTGGAGCTAATGGAGCAGCATGTGATCAGCTATGATGTGGAGAAGGACCTGTTTCCTCTGGTTTTGTCCAACTGCCAGTACAGCTTGGAACGTGGCCACGAGACAATATCTGAGTATGACCTGCCCAGGATCCAACAGCAGATCCTCACCCGCTTTCTGCAGGGAAAACCTCTCATTACCCGCACAGTGAGTCCCCACAGCCTGGTTTGATTAAAACATGTGTCCCACATCTAAAATTACATAAACTTTGTTTTAAACTCTTGATTTCTCTCCACTGCAAAGAAGTTCATTTTCTGTTGAAGTTCTATCGTAATAGACGGCAGGGGGGCTCAAGAAGCAAATACAGTACAAACACAAATAGGACTAAGCTATTACTGTTTGTTCCACATATTTATGACAGCACACTGCTACAACATGTGGGTTTTACATCATAAGTCCTTCCCAACACAACCTCCAAGGGATTCTTTTTCCAGAATAAAGCCAGGAATCTTTTGTTAGGCAAAGTTGTAAACCACTGCACTATGGAGTTTGTTTTTATTGTGTTGGTTAACTACAGTGGGACATTTTCATCATTTGACTCAAGTCTTGTATCTGTTCTATGTGATCTTACTTAGTTTAAAATCATATTTACATATTTCCCTGCTTCACTTAACCTCCTGTGTTTTATTAAGGGAATTCCCACGCTGGTCAATATGCAAGAGAGAGACTATGAGACCATTTTCAAAACTGTTCATGGAAAAGTGCCACAGGTAAAGTAATATGACCCATACTGAGTTTACAGTAAAAGTGCTAATATTTGTTTGGGAGATATTCTTGATAAATGGACTTACTATCTATAATCTGTAAATGGTTATTACAGGTATAGCAGATTGATGTTTTGTTTATCACCAAATCGCATAAATATTTCGGCCGAATAGTCACAGCAAATAAGAAAAATTGTCTTAACATTCATCTATAAAAGATCTACTCACACATTACACAGTTATATTGGGATGATTTACTTTTCAGTGCTTTATGACTTCACTGCTTTGTTTCTCTATCAGACGGCTCTGTCCCGTTTGATCTGGAACTCTGTGTCGAGACAGCTGGACTCCTACAGCGAGGTGTGTGAAGCACTGAAGATTGTGGAGCTGCTTCTGGGTTATCTCTCAATGACGGGTGGTGATCCCAAAATGAAACTGGTCACTTACCTTCAGGAAATACTAAAGATGGACCAAAACATTAATCAGCACATACTGAAGGTCATTACATGTACACTCTCTCACTCTGAGCCTCCCATATCAAAAATCAGTATTAATAACAAAGCAAAGACCAGAGAGAACAAACTATCTATAAGTTGATCTTTAAGTTGATCACTTTTTTTGCAGGCTTTTGGCAAATGTCACCTCAGACACTGTGTTTGTCTGTGGCAAGTCCTGTCCTCTCTCAGATCTGAAAAAATGCTGCAACTGAAAAGGGTAAGTTTTGCAGTATGTTTTTTTTTTTCAGATACAAATAAAATTTCAAGTTTATACTCCACATGTGGTTTTTCACTGAGGATACATAAATTGTAAGTTTTGATCCTAAGCTCCTGTGTTAGCACTTTGGTCATTATGACCAGATATGTCAGTCCATCTACCGTATACATACAAAATGCATGACTGCATGTCTTGTTAAAAAGGAACCCTTTTCGGGGTATCCAGCCAAGTACCAGGTGCCACTGACTGAGGAAAACAAGACTGAGCTGAAACGATTCATGTCCAGAGGAAACATGGACCAGTGGCTGCTTGAGATGCATGAGTTCCTCTTGTTGCGCCTGGGCCGCCTACGGGCAACTGAGGACTACAATCCATCATGGAGGTAAACCTGTTGTATGGTATCAGATTATTTGTTTGGTAATGCCGTTTTCTGTTTGGCCCTGACTTAGCAGGTGTGAAGAGAGATTTACATCCTAAGCCTCAAAGTCACTGCAGATGATCCTATGTAGCCAAAATATGGATATATAAGAGTGATCTCAGAGATGCAAAGATATGCATATAAAGTTATAGATTAGTCAGAATGAAACAAAAGATTTTCATCTAAGTATTAAAAACAATATTTATATTTAAAACTATGTTAGTTTGTCCAATTAATTTTCAATTAATCTTAAAAATGTCCAAGTACTTTGTGCATATTTTACTGTCGTCAGATAAGCCTTGTTTATTCATTTTCATATCTGTATAGTGCCCCATCGTTTGGCCTTTCTGTCTTCACCAAAAGTCTGAATGTCTTTATTTGTTATAATATTTTTTTGTTTTCCTGCTAAGTAAAAAATTATTTGCTCAAATGTAAAAGTAATGTATTAAAATTTATATTTTCTTTCTTTCTGACAGTCTGAAGGAGGCGGTCAGTGTCTACATGGATCGTAAAGAAGTAGAAGTCCCTACTTACGTGGAGGAAAACTTCTCTGAATATCTGCAGCTGTCTCAGATAATTGAGACCTGGAAATACACCATCACAGCCAAACAGGAGTTGATGAATGAATGAGTGCATAGAGAGATATTAGTTATCTAAAGAAGTAAACAAAGGTATTTTTTCTGCATTTATTGGTGTAATAATCATAGGATGTGTTGTGTTGTTCATTTGTTTTTGGAATTATTTTAGAAATTCAATTCAACAACAAAAAACTATATTTACATTTTAATATTTTATTTTTCATTATATTTTACTTCTCTTGTGAATGGTTTGAATTTTAAAAAGAAGAGTAATATTATCATGCTGCAAGGAGTGAATAGTATTTCTCCATCTAATAAGAAATTAAAGCAATAGGTGATTGATACACAGAAAAAAGCAAAATCTTGTAATCCAATGTAAATGAATGTGCACGGTTCAATCATAAATATGCAAGGTAATGGTATACTGAGCATTTTACACTTTTTCATACATATTTTATTTTTCTTATATTTTAAAATGCTTTAAGTTTTTATTTACATTTATGTAAAAGTTGACATTTGCTACATTTTATGTTTTTTTTTTTAATTTAATAGTTAGATTTATCAGATTTTCATGACATGTATTAAACCTGGTTGCGTTCAGCAGATAATCGAGAGATCAATTGGATGGGTTTAGAGAGATTTTAGTTTATCAGTTAACTTTAAGTTATACTACTTCTTTGAACTCTTTTATTTGTTTATGGTCTTGTTGATGTTTTCTTGATTCGTTTATGAGAAAGATTAGAAATTACCTTTAACCTCTGTGAAAACAATGAAACAGCAAAGCAGAATAAACTCAAGCACATCATGAGTGAGCTGCTCATGTATTCACTGTGAGAGTATATACAGCTTTGATATATTTTATATATCATTCTTTCATGATTATGTTTTTGTTTTAAAGTAAAATCTTTTAGTGTGAATTAACAACAGGATAGATTGATAAACTAGTGCAAAAACTGCACATTTTCCATTTTTTCTTACATGTTAAAAAACTGTAAATGTTCATTTGCATAAAAGTGACTTGAATGTGTTCATTTAAAGAAAACATTTGATTTGCAATATGAGATTATTTCCATTTATCTGTGGTGGAAAGTTGGATTTATCAGATTTTTATGTGTTAAGCGAGTTCATCAAACAGAAAGTATATAAGGAGATAAACTGGATGAGTTTATCGGTTTATTTTTCATCATAAAATTTATAAACCAACTGGTTTTAATTTTCTATTTTTGTTTTATAATTTTAACATTTCATTCCTTTACTGAGAAAAATGTTCACTTTGATGATGATTTAAGGTTTTGTTTTTGTTTTTTCATGGTATGTTTTAGCATTATTCTTGCATTTATTTTACAGCTAAAGAACAAAATATGATTTAAACATAAACTAGTAAAGAAATTAATAATTGATAGTTTTCTTTTTACAGTTTACTAACAGTGTCAAATACTTTTTGCTTGCATCAATTTGAAAGTCAATATTTTACATTTTATCTGTTTTCTCTAATACTTGGATTTGAAAAGTTAAAAATAACACTGAGGCTCAACAAAAACAATGATACACAGCAAGGCAGATAAAACGGGTGTATTATTTCTTCACTATGAGCCACCTGCTCATGTGTTACATTTTGTCAATCTAAAAAAGTTACTAAGAGTTATTTAGAAAATTCAGAAATGCATTGTTGAATTTGACAATCATATAGTGTGAAACTTTGTTGATTTACTCTTTATGTCGAAGGATTATGTACACGGTTCTTCTTTTTGTTCTGTTTTCTTTTTTTTATCAAGTATATTTTGCTATTGACCAGCACTCAGAGACAAAATTGTATTACTTTTTCTTACATATATCAAGTGTCCTGTATTGATTATTCATTGTGTATCTGCTAAAAGATTAAAGTACATTGGAAAATGTTTCCTCTGAAATTGTCAATGAAGCAGCTGTTGCACACATGTGACCTGAAATGTATTATTTCTGCCATAGTTGCAGATTGTCAGTCAATTATTGAAAATTAACCCCTTTTTTAAAGAAAAGTTGTTTATGGTTCTTTACTGTGCTTGAAGAAGTATTCATACATACTTTTTTGTCACCTTACAGCCACAAACTGAAATATTTTTGATTAAGATTGTCAGTGACTGACCAACACAAAGTAGTACATAATTGTTAACTGGTATGAAAATGATACATTGATGTAGATAAAAGTTGTAGATAGGTTTAAAGTAGAGTTAGGTTATAGAAAAATATCCCAAGCTTTGAACATCTCCAGGAGCACTGTTCAATCCATCATCCAAAATGGGAAAAAGTATGCTACAACTGCAAACCTACCAAGACATGGCCGTCCACCTAAACTGACGGACCGAGCAAGGAGAGCACTGGTGAGAGAAGCTTCTAAGAGGCCCACGGTCACTCTGGAGGAGCTGGAGAAATCCACAGCTTAGGTGGGAGAATCTGTCTGCAGGACAACTGTAAGTCATACACTATAAAGAAGAGTGACAAGAAGAAAGCCATTGTTGACAGACATAAAAAGTCCCGTTTGCAGTTTGCCAGGAGACATAAAAGGGAAACAGCAAACGTGTGGAAGAAGGTGGTCTGGTCAGATAAGACCAAAGTTGGGCCTAAATGCAAAGCGCTACGTGTGGCTGAAAAGTATGGCGTTATTTTTGTGCCACTATTCTGAGCGCACGTAAAAAAAAATTGCAGCTGCAAGTGTTGCATTTTGAGGAAAAATTTATTTTGAGCGAAGAAAAGCTGAAAAGCTGAATTTGAGTGAACAAAATTCATTTTTGCGTGCAAAAAATGTATTTCAGTGTTTGCTATTATCCACACACACACACACAATAGCAGCCCCTGTCGCTCAGTTTTTGCACTTGCGCTTGCTCGCAATGTGTTGCTTGCGCTCTCAACATTTCTGCCTGTGAGCATTCAACTCTTTCTCTACACCGTTATATTTGTGCCACAAAACCAGCCAATCACAGACTTGGATGCAAAAAAAATCTGATTGGCTGTTTTGGTCTCCAATCAGCTCGAAATGACGAAATGCAATATCCCAGAATCCATTTCATCCAAAACTCAAACGAGGCAGTGGCGGAGGAACACAGAGTGGCGGAGTTTGAAATATTACTCTTTCTGGGTCACAAAATAAACTTTTAAGATATTTTCATGCGAGAATGGTGCTGTGTAAACTTCTAATATCTGCTCGATTTATCAAGACATCACATATGTGCTCTGACGTTTTCGGAGATGCCTGTTACCCACCAGCTGACCTGGTGGGAACTCGGGTTAAACATAATATATAAGGCTGAACTGACAAAAAATCACCAACTACACCACCAGGTATTATCGGAAAAACCATAAAGCCTTTGAACTAAAAGAAACGCTGTTGTGACAGTGATGTACACTGTCTTGTTGGTATATATGTATGATTTGTATCACTTTCATGTTTCCCTCTCACCACATATCCAAACCGATATCATGACCAGCAGCTTTTACAGCTGTGGCTCCAGCAAACATCAGCTGATACTAGAAAGTAATATTAAATAAATTCTAACAACAGCTGATCAAGCTTGAACGTACTGCTGTTGTTTAGCGCAACATCCGCTGATTTCCTCTTTCTGGCACAAAGTGGGCAATAAACAAACAAGAGAGACCGTCAGCTGATCATTGATCAGTTTCATGATTGAAGTAGCAACAGGAGAGGGTGGGGAGAGAATGAGAGAAGAAGAGGCAGCTGTGCAGTGTAAAGACACAGAATAACTCCAGCTTTGTGTCTTTTTCATTCTAGCTGAAGTTTGGGACGAGTCGCGTTCCTTTTCCCCTCAATACGGATGTGTTGTAATTGGTCCAGCCCAAAGTTGATCGTGACCAACTGGCTAATCCACCACCTTTCATTGTTTATACCGTTACAAAGACAAACAAACAAACATAAAAATGAAAAATCATCATCGGCCCACCAGGCAAATGTCTGGTATGCCCAATGGCCAGTCCAGCTATGCGGTCAGCTGGTGGGTAACAGGCATCTCCGAAAACGTCAGAGCACTTATGTGATATGTGATGTCTTGATAAATCGAGCAGATATTAGAAGTTTACACAGCACCATTCTCGCATGAAAATATCTTAAAAGTTTATTTTGTGACCCAGAAAGAGTAATATTTCAAACTCCGCCACTCTGTGTTCCCCCGCCACTGCCTCCTTTGAGTTTTGGACAAAATGGATTCTGGGATATTGCATTTCGTCATTTCGAGCTGATTGGAGACCAAAACAGCCAATCAGATTTTTTTTGCATCCAAGTCTGTGATTGGCTGGTTTTGTGGCACAAATATAACGGTGTAGAGAAAGAGTTGAACACGCACAGGCAGAAATGTTGAGAGCGCAAGCAACACATTGCGAGCAAGTGCAAGTGCAAAAACTGAGCGACAGGGGCTGCTGTTGTGTGTGTGTGTGTGGATAATAGCAAACACTGAAATACATTTTTTGCACGCAACAATGAATTTTGTTCACTCAAATTCAGCTTTTCTTCGCTCAAAATAAATTTCTCCTCAAAATGCAACACTTGTACCTGCAATTTTTTTTTATGTGCGCTCAATTTTTTTTTACGTGCGTTCAGAATAGTGGCACAAAAATAACGCCATAGAAAAAGTAACACTGCCTGCTCATCACCCTGAACACACCATCCCCACTGTGAAACACGGTGGTTGCACATCATGCTGTGGGGATGCTTTTCTTCAGCAGGGACAGGGAAGCTGGTCAGAGTTGATGGGAAGATGAATGTAGCTAGATAAACGGCAATCCTGGAACAAAACTTTTTTGGAGGCTGCAAAGGACTTGAGACTGGGAAGGAGATTTACCTTCCCTAAACATACAGCAAGAGGTACAATGTAATGACTGGGATAGCCCAGTCATTTCCTAAATCATGGCAATCCTCCTGGCACTTAACAGTGTACACTATATATACATTATATAATATAATATTACTCTGTTTGTGTCAGGGGACCAGATCTTTGGGTGGACCAATTTTTGGTGCAGCGTGTGACAGCTTTGACAAAATTCCAGCTAGGATAACCACATTTACTCCCGGCCTTTTTCATATGATGTTCTTCTGCTTCCCTGGCTGCTGTATCTGTGTGGATGGTGTTCAGTTCAGGCTGTTTGAAGGATAAAGGTGATCATACCAAATACTGACTTGCAAGCTTATTAGAATTGTACAGACTCAGTATTTACTTTATACAGGTGAAACTCGAAAAACTTAGAATATCATTCAAAAGTTCATTTATTTCACTAATTCAACTTAAAAGGTCTCACTAATATATGATATAGACTCAACACATTTAAAGCAAGAGATTTCAAGCCTTTATTTTTTATGATTTTGATGAT